TTGGAAATGTAAAAAGACACAGGGGACTTTTTACCTTGCTTGGTGACTTTGCCCAGAAATTAAGAAATAGTGGAATAAAATAAAAACATGGATATTAGAAATAACAGATTACGAAATTGAATTAAAACCCGAAGTCTTTTTATTAGGCATGATTAAAAAGAATATTAGAAATGATATAAAATATTTAATACTTCACATAATTACGGCGGCTAGACTAGCGTTAGCACAACTCTGGAAAATAGATTGTTTGCCAACCGACCAGGAGCCAATACAAAAAATCTATATATGCGCAGAAATGGACAAATTAACTTTAGAGTTAGAGGACAAGGAAGACTCAAAATATTTTATAATATGGAATAGATGGTATCAGTGGATAAACCAGAGGAGGAAGGAATGGTTAAAGACGAAATTTAGAAGAAATCAACACAATTAAAAACAGCACTGTCAGATGGATAGAAAAGGAAATAAGTCACTGTGTGTATGTATATATGTATATATAATAATAGAAAGTAGTACTGTATATGTAAATTTGTTTTTGATTAAGAGAAACTTGTATGTTTTTTATATTTGTTTTAAATGTTTTTTAAGAATGAATAAAGTAAAATCTGAGTAAAATTTCATCTATTGGATGCTGGCAAGCCTTATAGAACTCTGCGGGTATACCATCCGGTCCTGGGGTTTTATATATTTTCAGTTTCTTCCTCGCCTCTATCAATTCTGTCATCATAATCTGCCTGTCCAAAAGATTCCTGTGTGATTCTTCTAGTTCTTGGATATCGACTTCATTAAGGTATTGTTTGATATCCTCTTCTAGAGATTCTTCCTGTTCATATAGTTTCTGGAAAAAAGTTCTTGCTATTTCCTTTTTGTCCTTGTTCCTATAGTGTATCTCTCCTGTATCATCCTGTAGTTCATGGATTGTCCTTCTCTCTTTTTCTTGCTTCAATTTATATGCCGGCCATCGCCCTGTCTTATTTGCTATTCAAAATGATTTTGTTTTACAAATTTGATTTTCCTCGCAATTTCTGTTTGTGTGATAAAATTTATTTTATGTTTAGCCAAATTTATTTTTTCTTTAGTCCTCTTATTTAGAGGTTCGTTCTGTAGCTCAAATTCATATTTTTGAATTCCTTCAATAAGTTATCTTTTTCCTGTTGTTTTGCTTTGTTTTCTTTCACCAGATATGATATCGTTAAGCCTCTTATGTAGGCTTTCGCCGTATCCCATAAATTTTGGAGGGATGTTTGTTCTTTGATGTTAATCTCAAAAAATATTCCCATTTCCTTTTCTATCATCTGTGTATATTCTTTACTTTTTAGAATTTCGGTGTTCATCATCCCTCTCTTATTCTTCCGATATCCTTTCCAGATTAATTTTATTGGGTTATGGTCTGCCCATGTGTTCGTCATTATTTCTATTTCTTCTAGGTCTTTCCTGAGATCTGTTGACATCCAGGCCATATCTATTCTGGACCAACATAGGTTGGATTGGAGTAGAAAGTGTACTGGTTTTTATCTTTGTTTATTTCCCTCCATGCATCCTGGAGGCATAATTCCTGCGCCATTTCCTTGAAAGTGTCTGGAAGGGGGTTTTTTGGTTATTTTTCCTGGTACTGCAATAGTCTTTTTCTGTATCTGAAATTGCGTTTAAGTCACCTATGATGCAAATGTTCTCATAGTCTAAGTCTTTTACTCTATCATGTATGTTTTGGAAGAAAGTGTGTTGATTCTCATTTGGTGCATAAATTGAGATTAATAGTATTATTTTGGATTCCATTTGTATCTCAACTATTAAAACTCTTCCCTCTCCGTCTGAGTATATCTGTTGGTAATCAATCAAGAGCTTGAGGACTCACTCACCTATCTGGAAATGGAAAAGGCATCATTTTACCTAAGGTTCCAGAATACAGTAGAAACTAAGGAGGAAGACCTGGGAGAGACAATGATGGAGATCCTCGCTGAAACAACACAGAGAGATAAAGACGATATACGAAGGGACATAGACGAGGTGTACAGAGTGCATACCAACTATGCACGCAGGAACAAACTGCCAAAAGAAGTCCATGTTCGATTCACGAAGAAAACAACAAAAGAAGAGATATACAGAAAAATGAGACAGGATGCAATCTTTTACAAAGGGAAAGAAATAATAACACTGAAACAAATTCCAAGACGTGTCAGAGATCAGAGGAAAAATTATAACTTCCTCACAAAACAACTAAATAAACATAAAGTGATGTTCCGCTGGCTACTACCAGAGGGTATCTTAATTTCGTGGCAGGACAAGAAATTTAAAATAGATAGTCTGGAAGGAGCTCAAGAATTTTTTGATCAACACTTTGTCCCTGAAGAAGACCAAGAATCTAGAATGGAAGCGGGAAATAAGAGCCAAGAGGAGCAGTCAATAGAAGAAGCGAAAGATGAACAGGAAGAGAAGAGAAGATTGGAAAGAGAAAGAGAAGAGAGAGAAGGAGCAAGGGGGAAAACACAAAGAATAACAAGAAACACCAGGAAAGTAAAGACAACAAGCAGATAGGAAGAAAAATGGAACAGGAAATAAAGATGATTTCGATCAACATTCCTCGACTAAACGCCCCAGTTAAAAGAACCCGGACATTTACCAAACTACAAAAATTAGGAATGGACATTATAAATTTACAGGAGGTCCACATTAAACAACAACACCAACAGATATTAGAAAACACAAGATTAGGGAACTTTTACACCTCACTGGCAGAACAGAAAAAAAGAGGCATTGCAGTCTACATTAGGAAACACCTAAAAAAATTGTTTAACCAACAGGTCTGCAACATATCGTCCCTGTCTGACTGGGAGGCACAAGTCAATATAATTGAGACAAGAACAAGATGGTTCTTCATGTAACCTGGTTCTATGCCATGAAGAGCTTTAATTAGACCCAAAAGCAAACTAGAACCCAGTGCAGCTCACATAGCAGAGGTTATGTGTGTAATCTTCAGAGCTCTCACCTAAATCTCTTTATTGTTATCACCCCATGAAGTTTTTAAAGAAGAAATGTGAAAGTTATCAAAATTGGTGAACCTACTTGCTGACTTTTTTCTAAAAACATTAAGGAAGGCCTTCAATTTGCCATACCTGGGACAGACCTTGGAGGCAGCTTAGATGTTCACAGCCACCATAATGGCCATGGGTCTATCCCAGGGCATCCATGGCCCAACTCAGAACACTGGTGGCCACATACCACATATATGTTTTCTTGTTGGAGCAGTTCAATGTGCCTGGAGAGCAAAGCTCTCCCTGTCTCCTCTGTCATGGTCAAATCACACTTGGTGACTTTGAGATTTTCTTATGTTGCCTTGCTACACAGGAAGGCAGACCTATTTGACTGATCTTCTCCCAGTGATTGATGGATTTGGTTAGGGGTGAAATCTAAAATTTGTTACTACCAGTTCCGTGGGCGTGGCTTGGGGAAGTTAATGTGACTGGGTGGGCGTGGCCAACTTTTTTTTTTTTACTTTTAAAAGGATTTTTTCTACAACCTTAAAAGGTTGCAGAAAAAAATGCTTTTAGAAGCCTCTGACAATCAGGCAAGTCAGCTGGGATTGCCAGAGGCTTTTAAAGGCATCTTTTTTCCAACAACCTCTTCGGCCAAAGGGGTTGCAGAAAAAAATGCTTTGAAAAGCCTCTGATGATCCAAGCTGAGCCGTGCGATCATCAGAAGCTTTTTTTTTTACTTTTAAAAGCATTTTTTCAGCCAAAGAGAGGAAAAAAATGCTTTTAAAAGTAAAAAAAACAGCCTCTGATGATCGCGCGGCTCAACTGGGCATGGGGGAGCGCAAGGATTTTTGCTAGCGATTCTACGAACCACCCGCCGCCATCGCTACCAGATCGGGCAATCCAGTCCGAACTGGGAGCATTTCACCCCTGGATTTGGTGGGTTCCAAAGGGAACTGGGATTATACCTGAGCTCCTGCTATATGGTCCTGCAAAGGCCCTGGCTTTTGCCTGGGATGGGGAGGAGGCCAGAGCTATGGATAAGATTGAAGACCTCTCTTGGTCCATCATCCCCAGCACTTCCCAAACATTATGGAGGAATTGAGGTAGCTGAAAAGGATCAAGAAATGTCTAGAAAGCCACTGGAGGAAGATGAGAGGTGAGTTAGTGCTGCTATTTAGATTACGTTGTGGTGGTAAGAGTGGTAAAACATCAATATTTCTGTGTTCTTATTCTATCCTCAAAATGCAATCCAACAGCCCTGTTTAAGGCTCCCTGGACCTTCCTGGGCAAGGGAGGTCTGGAGATTTACTTTCAAGACAATGCAGAAGAATTCTCTGTGTATCTGGCAGATAAAATTGCCCAGATTCACTTCCAGTGGGGGGCCAAGCATGGTGCAGGTTCTGTGGAGTTGCCTGGGGAGAAGACTTGCTCATTATCTAGAAACAATTTGATTCTGTTAGATCTGAGGAAGTGGCTATATTCCAAAATTCTCAGTGCATTAGATCAGTGGTAGTCAACCTGGTCCCTACTGCCCACTAGTGGGAGTTCCAGCTTTCATGGTGGGCGGTAGGGGTTTTGTCCGATACTGAAGCACTTTCCTTTTTTTTAATTTAATTGACTTTTTAAAAAATTTTCATAGCATTATTTAAAAACATTTTCATTAGGTTTTCATAAAATTCCCCATAACAAATTTCTGAAAAGATACTATTTGTATTGCCCGCACATAAGTTTAGTTCACGTTACGTAAGTGAAACTAAATGGCGCTATAGTGCGACCGCAAACAAAAAAGCCTCGCCCCAGAATAGCTCATGCATCTCCCCCACCACCTAGCTGTAACAAACAAGCAGAGCTGGTAGCCGGTGCCCCCCAAAACCCAATCCACGATGCGTGAGAAGCATGCGCAGATGATGATACACGGCGCAGGCTCTTTTGTTTGTGGTCGCACTGGTCAGTACGCAGTTAGATTTGTGAGAATGAGCACGTACCTACAGCTTCAAACAAAGTATTGTGAAATATTGTGAGCCCATGTCTCAAAAAAAGAAATATGCTCGTGGCTATTTGCCAGAGTATCTGAAGATGGGTTTCATAGAATCTGTTGTAAATAAACAACATCCAACGTGTTTATTGTGTCATAGAACATTATCCAATAAGGCAATGAAGCCAAGTCGATTGCGAGAACATCTTTCTACAAATCATCCAAATGATAAGGACAAGCCCATTGAATATTTTCAGGAAATATATAAAAAATTTCAAAATCGTTCAACAATCATTGCATCATTTAAGAAACAACATGCTGTGAATGAAGATCGATTAATTGCTGCTTATCGCATTTCACGACTAATTGCAAAAAGTGGTAAAAGCTATAATATTGGAGAAACTGTAATAATACCCTCTATAAAAGAATTTATCTCAACAGTAATGCATCAGGATATACCTGAAATTTTAAAAATGTTGCCCCTAAGCAATAGCACAGTAAAGCGACGAATTGAAGAAATGGCAGTTAATGTTGAAAAAAAACTTATAAGTATTCTCCAAAACTCTTCATTTTCCATGCAATTGGACAAGTCTACCATTGCAGATAATAATGCTTTATTGATGGCATATGTACGTTATTTTGATGAAAACAATACATTACGAGAAGAAAGGCTATTCGCAATAAATCTCATTACAGATACAAGAGGATTATCTATATTTAATACTGTGAAATCATACTTCACAAAAAATAATATTCCTTTGAATAATATTGTTGCATGCGCTACTGATGGAGCACCATTGATGATAGGTCGCTATTGTGGATTTGTTGCTTATTTGAAGGAAGAAGTGCCAAATGTTTTATGTATTCATTGTGTGGTGCACAGACAACATCTTGTAGGAAAACATCTAAGTACAAGTCTCCATTCATCATTAACTATAATAATTCGAGCCATAAACAAGATCAAATCCAATGCAAAAAATGATAGAATGTTTCGACAGCTTTGCCAGGACAATAATGAAGATTTTATTACGTTACTTTTGCACACAGAAGTTCAGTGGCTGTCAAAGGGTACATCTTTGGCTCGTTTTGTAGCATTATATGATAGTGTCATACAATTTTTTGAAAGTCATAATGAGACTAATCTGTGTCAACAGTTAAAAACAGTAAAGAATGATGCCTTTTATTTGGCAGATATTTTCAAGAGATTTAATGATGTCAATTTGGAGCTTCAAGGAGCTAATAAAACTCTTATAGGTTGCCAAAGTATTGTGTCATTATTTATTGACGAACTACTTCGTTATAATCTATTGAAGAGAGAATTTCATCAGTTTCCTGAATTATCATCTATAAAAAATGATGTAACTCCAGAGGATATTGACAGATTCAGTAGCCACCTCAACAAACTTAAATTGGACATGGAAAAACGATTTGAAGATATTTTGAAATTGAAGGTGTATGACTGGATGAAAAATCCTTTTACCGCAAATATTGAAGAGGCTGATACAATTTGCCAAGAAGAACTGTTAGAAATTAGATATGATGAAGAAAGTAAACATAAATTCAATAGTGGTGGATATGAAAACCTATGGGAAAATAAAAAAAATGCCTGTCTTATATCCAAATATGTGGAAAATGATAGTCAGTTTATTGATACCTTTCCCTACCTCATATCTTGTGGAATCAGGCTTTAGTACTGTTAATCATATTATGACCAAAGAAAGAAACTGCCTGAATATTTCCGAAAGAGGAGACCTTCGTTTGTTCCTTACAAAAATTGAGCCAGATATCCAGTATTTAGTTTCGCAGCATCAGCCTCAGGGATCTCATTAATAATTTAATTAATTAAATGTAATTTCATCAGACTTCATGCTTCTATGTATGCAAAGTATAAATAAAAAGATAGATTTAACTACAATAAGTTGTTTTATAAAGATTTATTCTGCCAAACTTAGCAAAAGTCCGACATAAAGTATTTGGTAAATAATAATTATTATTATATGCTTTAACTTGCTGTAACTCTGCTTTATAAATTTTATAAAGTAAAGTTACTTCCCTACTTTATAAATCACCATTACTGTGGGACCGGTGGGCGGTTAGAAAATTTTACTACTAACAGAGATACAAAAGTGGGTGGTAGGTATAAAAAGGTTGACTACCACTGCATTAGATTGTCCCTTTATAACTTCCTCATGTACATCCGTCTATGTCAGAGTGCACATGGTGTGACTATTTTGAGACAACCCAGGAGCAAAATACAGTAAACAGAGGTTTGTCTTTCAAATAATGGCTTATCTGCAAGGAATATATACATACACGTACTAACTAGGCAAAGTCAGGCAATCAATCATCAACAATAGCATGGAAATGCACACGAGAGAGAGACACCCTAACAGAGCCTCTCTTATGATAATGTCTCTTAAAGTGGTAACAGTCAAATAACCCTGCTGACTCATTACTATCATTGTATCATCATTACAGCATTACAGCATCATGGCAGCTGGTCAGCTCTTAAAGTATTTCCCTGACAATCTATCTTCTAAGGAAGCTTCATTTGTTCAGTTCACCCTACAGTTGTGTGAATGTCTGTTAGAGTCTGTCTCTTGGACAACTTGCGCAATATTAAAGAAGAAATAAATTATTATCAACAGACTGAATATATATTTCTGGCACTGTTTCTATATTTCTGTTGAAGAAAAGAATAGATCGCTACAAAGTAGGCCAGGAACTCCAGAGAGACAGTACCATTGCCTTTGATTTCTTTTTCTACCTTGAAGTTCAAAGAGCATAAGTAAGTTCTTTGCAAAAGGAAGTGCAGAACTCTTTGAAGGTCTGACAATACATTTACCATGTGTAATATAAAGAGGGCTTCAGTAATACTAAGTAATAAAGGACTCAGCATGCATGTGTGGGTATCACATCACTTTTATATTGCAGATGTTATATCTTGGGAATACTTTTATTATTAGGAATTGATTTGCTGTTGAGGTTAGCAATCTGTATTTTATTTTACCTTACCTCAGCTGCTGGCTTCAAATCCTATTAAGGACATTCAGTGCCTCTTATTTATTGCTAGGAAGTTATACATTTTAATCACATAATAATAGACAGCAAAACTTATGTGTCAGATGGGTGAATTTCTCCACCAGTGTATAAACCATAAATTGGCAGCATTAAACAGCCAGGGCTGGATTTCAAAGTTTTTTATTTCAATGGCCAAGGCTGCCATAGAAAAGACAGTGATGTAATCATGATAGCTTTGGACAGAAATGGTTCTTGTTGGAAGAAACCGGAAGCGTCGTGGTGAGACTGGCTGGAAAATAGCGGGCTCCGACGAGCCTTGCAAAAATCCAGTCAGACAAATCACTGTCGGGGGGGTCTTCGGATCAGATCCTGTAGTACAGTGGTCTTCGGATCAGAGCCTGTAGTACAGTGGACTAATGCACTGTTATTAACATCTGCTGCTTGCAATTACTGTAAGTTCAAATCTCACCAGGCTCAAGGTTGACTCAGCCTTCCATCCTTTCAAAGTTAGGTGAAATGAAGACCCAGATTGTGGGGGCAATAAACTGACTTTGTATAAATATACAAAAGTATGAAGGCTATTGCTTAACGCATTGTAAGCCACCCTGAGTTTCCGGAGAAGGGCGGCATATAAATTAAAGCAAAAAAAAAAGATCCATCCTGTAGGGACGGTGAAGAAGGAGAGGCGCCTTGGATGACCAAGAGGAACAGGCAAGTTCCTTGAACACTCGGGAGGCAGCTCTTCGAACCGGCGGCTGGGTGACAGCCATTAAAAATGACCGCTTTGAAGCTGGGGCAACCAGAATAAGATTTTGTGCAGGAGCGGTGTTTGAACGGAGTACTGGTACCGGGTGTGTGATTGGCCAACTCACAGGTGAGTTACCTGTTTAAGTAATCCCTTAAAAAAGGGATTTAAAAAAAAAGGTGTTCTGGTGAGGAAACAAGCGGATTATTGGCACTTGGGAATTTTAATGAAGGGAGAAGAACAAAGAGGAAGTGAAAATACTAAAGCCGAGAAAAGAAAACTTTATATTTGGATTTAAAATTGGATTTGGAGAAATTAAAACTAATATAAGAAAAAGAAACCTGAGAGAAAGTATTTTTTAATGAGGATTTGAATTAATTTTGACAGTTTTGAAATTTGAAAGATGAACAAAGAGGAGATTAAAATATTAAAGCCCAAGAAAGGAAATTTTACATCTGGATTTAAAACTGAATTTGGAGAAATTAAAAACAATAAAAGGAAAAGAAATTTGAAAGAAAGTATTTTCTATGTGGATTTAAAATACTTTTGCAAGCTGGATACTTTGTTGTTCTGAGAATTGTGGATTGGAGAGAGACATCTGCTGGTGGAAAGAAAGCACTACAATGATCGGCTTAACTTGAAAGAAATAACAACAGTGACCTTGATCACTACAAGAGCTGTGAGAATTTTCAGGAGTATTTGTTTCTACTTAAACTGCTTGGCCTCGACTTCCAAAGAAGGTGGAAAACAATAAAGCTTTAAATTGGAGTGGATTGGACAAACATTTGTATTGGATATCATCTGGAAATTAAAAAGAGACTATATGTACTTAAATCTTAATTAAACATGTTAAAATGTCAATCATTTTTTAAATTGACAATATGGAACCTTGGATGTGTGAGGAATTAATTGAAATGCTTAAAAATGTGTGTAAATCAATAAAGAGCAATAAAAAGTTAGAAACTTTGTTAGAATATACTAAACAGGAAAAAGAGAATATTTTATTTATTTATTTATTTATTTATTTTGATTTCTATACCGCCCTACTCCCGAAGGACTCAGGGCGGTGCACAGCCAAACAATAAAACACATACATACAAAATTTAAAAGTAGAATAAAATCAAATTAAATAATATAATATAATATAAATGAGAAGGAAGAAAATAATATTGAAGGTAAAGGAATTGAAGGTAGAAAATTAGATGATTACACTGGGATTTACAGTGGCAAAAAAAGAATGGATAGGGGGGAATATTTTCCAAAAAAAAGAATCAATCAAAAAGAAGGAAATGGCAAAAGATTAGGTAAAAGCTGGGGGCGAATTATGCGAGTAATAGACTCAAAAGTTAGAGAAAGGAGAAAAGATATATAGTAAATACAGTTTCCCCGAAAATAAGACCCAGTGTTATATTTTTTTGAACCCTAAAATAAGCGCTTAGCCTTATTGCCAGGCGCTCAAAAGCCCGATTGGGCTTATTATCAGGGGATGTCTTATTTTGGGGGAGACAGGGTAGACGACAAGAGAATGGGATGAAGGGACAAAATTATTAAGAAGTGGAATTCTGGAGAGACCAAGAGAAAATGGTTAAAAGGGGAAGAATAGTGGAAAGGAGGAAGGGAAATAAGGTATATATTAGTAGATCTAAGGGAACTGTATTAACATTAGTAATTGTGAATGTAAAAAGTAAATATGATGATGTATATTGTGTATTGTAAAATGAACAGCAGATGAAATATGAAGTGGTAATTTGGTTTAATTACGAAAATAACTGAAATCACGAGATAAAATTGAAATGTAAAAAAGTGTGATGGGGACTTTGAAATAATATGTTGTAAATGATGAAATAAAATAATTAATTGATGCTATAGTAAGAAATTAAGAATTAAGGGCGGATAGTGATATTGCTTATTATGTACTTAGAAGAGATTAAGATAAAATGTGGAAGGTCAATTAAGTTAAAGGATTTCAATATAAAAAGTACATTGTTTATAGTTAAAAATGTGATGGGGATTTTGAGAAATATACTTTATAAATGGAGAAATAAGATAATTAATTGAAGTAATACTAAGAAATTAGGATTTGAAGGGCAGATGGTGATATTGTTTATATATTATGTATTAAGAAGAGATTAAGTTAAGATAAAAATGGGGAAAAAGAATATCATGGCAGAAATTGAAATATGTAAATTGTATTTGGAAAAGACGAAAAAGAAGATTGGAATAGATGATAAAAATTAACATATAATTATGTTATAAGTTGTATAAGATGTGACCCAGTCAATAGTCTGTTCATGAAATAGGTATGTAAAAAAAAAATTTAATAAAATTTGTCCAAAAGAAAGAAAGAAATGGTTCTTGTTTTCTATCATTCATTAATTGTGGTAATTAATTAATTCGTTCTAGAGACATCCATCTTACATTTGTTGACTCTGAGAAGCAGATTTAGTTAACAACACTCAAAAAACACAACCAGCAAACATAGTCCTCAACATAAAACCATTCATTTAGCAACCATTCAAAGTTACAATGGTATTAAAAAGTGACTTATGACTGATCCTTGCACTTACCAAGGTTACCTTACCATCTCCAATGGTTGGAGATGCTGCAACCATTGCAGCATCTCCATGGTCACGTGATCAAAATTTGGGCACATAGCAACCAGCATGTATTTATGATGGTGGCAACAAGTAGCGGGTCAATCAGTTTATCCATATATTAGGCTCCAAATTATAACCAGATCCCCAGGCCCATTGACAGAGCCATGTCTTTAGAGCATTTCAAAAGGCAAGTAGGACCAATCTGGCCTTCAAGATGGAGGTGATATTCCAAAGGGTGGACATTGTGTTAGAAATTGTTCTTTTGGGTCCCATCAAATGACAATCCTTAACCAATGGAGCCATAACATATCCTCTCTGAAGAACCTGA